CTGTTTGTTTATTTATTTAAGGGCATATCGGCAAATTGATAGGAGCAAGCGTTTTAAAGTCATCTAGTTTTCAATTATTGTAATTGCATACATTTCACATGATACAAATTGGAAGTTAAATTTCATTGAAGGTTATGAGTTTTCTTACATCATATTGAGATTGCATACCTACATAATTCATGTTTTTTGCCAATATCACTTATTATGTTTATATCTAACTTTACCATTCTCAAAAATAAAATAAAATCATGTTTATATCTACTGGAGTTATGGGACATTAACACAAGATTTTATCTGCTTATGTAACACCTATGTTGGTCGAACTCTTCAAAAGTCCTGCCGGATGTGTGTCGGATCTTCCAAAAGTAGTGCATTTCTTGAGGATCCGACATGGTGTGACAACACTTTTGGAGAGTCCAAGCAACATAGCTTTTAACAACCAAAAATCATTTTGTAATTCCATCAATTTTGATCTTAAATGTGTTAGGCATGAATTTTATGGGTTACTATTCAGGGTCACGGATGGTGTTTAATTGGTAAATTTAGTGCCCCAAGCTAGCTGCTAAATTACTTTATAATCTTTTGAAGTTCAAGAGAAGAAATAAAAAGAATGACGAAGAAGACATGCCTCATCAATCTTTTATTTTGATCTTGCCTCCAGATGGTCAATTCACCAAGTCTGCAATAGTTAAGTTTGTATCTGCCAACAAGCTTCCTCTAGTAACAGTTTTTACTAGAGAAAGTGGAGCTTCGATTTTCTCGAGTCCTATAAAGAAGCAGGTAATACAGATACGATATCGCGTAGTAAACCTGTCTTTTTGAATGGAAGTGCTCATGGTTAATGCTTTTACTCAGGTTTTGCTCTTTGCCCGAACAAATGATACAGATAAAGTATTCCCAACATTTCAAGAAGCTGCAAAACATTTTAAGGGAAAGGTAATTAAGCTTTGTTTTTAGTTTTTGAGAATATTAATGCAGTCTTTGGTTTCATACATACTGCTGTATTTTGTGGAATAGCAATTTATAATAACTTCTTGCGTGGAAAAATGTTTCTTACCTATAAATCACGCCGCTTGCCTTCTGCCCTCTTAGAGTAGACATACAGAAAATTAATAGGAGTGCAATTGATATACACCAAACACAAATCCACGAGTGATATACATATGAACTTTTTTTTAGCTTATCGAGTAAAACATGAAGTAAATTAGATTTAAGAACATCTTCACAAAAAAGGTGCTCTATTTGTGTTGCCTATGAATTTCCATCTGACTGTCCTTCGTGAATCCCTATAATTGGTTTAGACATCAATAACACCAACTTCAATGAAAATCCGTATCAACTACATATATATTTACCCTTTTGTTTGATTCAAGTTATTTCGTTGGGATTAGCACAAATAGTGGGTCTGAAGTTTATAGCATTTATGTTGTTTGGAGGAGTGAGCTGAGGTTATTGCGGTGACCATGGTGCTATATAATGCGCATACGAGAAGAGAAATGTAAAGTGAATGCTACTTTAACTTTATCAAAAAAAAAAGAAAAAATGTTAAGTGAATGCTTGTACTTCCACATCAATTGAAAGGATAAACTTCAGGTTGGAGTACTCTGTACTCTAGATTGGCTTTTTGGATGATGACTTGTTCCGCTTTTCACACAGCTTCTTCAATTATGAGGAAATAAAATGGAAGAGCCGGAAGTTTTGGCTAAAAAGAGAAGATCATGTTATAGATTAAAAGCTTGTTACCGCTCCTATGTGGTTTGCGGCGTTTTTACCCTGTGCTCACCAAAGGGCAACAGCTGCGGGTTTCCCTGGTCATAAAAATAAATAAATTAAAAGCTTGTATTGTTTTCCTGGATAATGCAGCATATCTGTCTTTTTGTGAAAATGAATAGTGAAGATACTCTCAAATGACGAGCTGTGTATTCTTTTCCTGGATAAATGCAGCTTATCTTTGTTTTTGTCAACATGGATGATGAAGAAGTTGGAAAGCCTGTGTCAGATTATTTTGGAGCCACCGGAGATTCTCCAAAGGTAAACAATCAACAGATCATAATGGGCTTGATATGACCATTTGGGACGAAGGTTACAGAATATTTAATTTGTCTTGTTGTTTTTCTCCTGTAGGTTATCGGATATACAGGAAACGAGAATCCTAGGAAATACATATTTGATGGGGAGATCACTGTTGAGAAGCTTAAGGTGGGATGCCTCCTGGACGACTCGTTGTGTTTGTTGGATACATTCTTATTAAGTGATCCTGTCAGGAAGCTCTAAATTGCGTTTTTCTTATTTTTTTTATCCGTTAGGCATTTGGAGAAGATTTTCTGGCTGACAAGCTCAAAGCTTTTTATAAATCAGACCCTATTCCTGAGGATGTAAGTTGTGATTTCCCTTCCTTGCCTATCGTATTCTATGTAGTAGTGCTGATTCAGCTCTCCGTTTCATTTGTTGATTCTTACAGAATGAGGGGGACGTGAAGATAGTAGTGGGGAACAATTTTGATGACATTGTTCTGGATGAGTCAAAAGATGTGCTTCTGGAGGTACCAAGCTACTACTAAGGGCTTCACAATCAATTCTCTTTATTGATTTTCTTTTCGTTATTCAGTTATCTTTTCGTAGTAACTATTGTTGCATCTTTTTTAGATATATGCACCATGGTGTGGGCATTGCCAATCTCTAGAACCAACGTATAACAAGCTTGCAAAGCACTTACGTGGCATTGAGTCTCTTGTTATAGCCAAAATGGATGGTACCACGAATGAGCACCCTCAGGGAAAGGTAATTTGATAGCTTTCTATTTTTAATTAGAACACGAGTGTCATAGTACGGCAACAGACTGCTGCTTTTCCTGATTGCTTCTGCTGCTATTGTTTATTCATTTGCACTATTCATTTATGTTTGGTTGAGATGCGTGACTGTGACATTAAAGAAATGCTGAGTCCCACATCGAAGGTGAGATGATGGATAATTTTCACTTCATGAGTTCGTTTTTAGGTTGAGTTAGGCCCACAATTCATTTCTTATGATGGTTTCAGTGTAGATCCATCTGACATCTTGGTTAATCCTTTGTTGGGACCCAACATTATATTGTTCATGCTCCAGTTGACAGGCCTGCGCTTTCGTGGGCGTCGAGTCCCACAATGGTGGTGGGACAAGGGACTTAATTCTCCTTGTATGGTTTTGAACGATTCCCACCTCATGAGCTAGTTTTTGAGATTGAGTTAGACGTGAAGTCCGTCTTTTTAATCAGTTTTAGTAAATTTTGGATGCAATTGTTGAATGGAAGGTCATTTCCGCTCCTTTTGCAGGCTGAAGGATTTCCCACACTCCTCTTCTTCCCAGCAGGGAACAAGACCGCGGATCCAGTAAGTGATTGATCATTTTTGTTTGCTTTACGTCTCCATGTAAAATACACGAAATAGCAAGTGATAATGCCTTTTATATAATCCGACAGATCCCAGTTGATTCTGACCGAACTGTAGTGGCATTGTACAAGTTTATCAAGAAACACGCAACTATTCCTTTCAAGCTTCAAAAACCAGCTTCATCGACAACTACATCAGAGAGTCCGGAAGCCAAAGTAGGTGGCAACGTTGAGTCGAAGAATGAAAAAGATGAACTATGAAAGTTACATAGCTCTGTTACTTTATCTTCTCTGTTATTCTTCTAGCTAGCTTGTTTTGTAGTAGGAGTAGATAGACTGGGCTACGAAGATGGCCATGGAACATATTTTGTTATTTCTTTTTTGCTTTGAGTTTAAAGTTTAATGTCCTTCTATGAATGATAAGTTATATATATGTCTTAATTTCTATATCATTAGGTTATTTTTACTTGCTGTAGTAGCAAATGTACCAAAAACATTACAAGTATGAATGTAATTTTATCTCAATCTAATTGAAGTTTGTGTAGAAGTTATCTATTCAATTACCAATAACTTTTACTGCCAAAAAAATTAGGAGGCTTATTCAACCTTTTTGGACAAAAAAAAAGTTATGGTTAATCTTTTTCTGTGTTATTAAAGTAGACATAGGGAAGCTAGGTGGGGTTTATGGGTTCGGATAAATTTAATAATTTTTTGAAAAAGGGTTAAAATTGTCCTTAAGTTATGTGAAATCACTTATATCCTTTGTTACATTTTGGGATAAAAAATGTCTTTGCTATTATTCTAAGAGACCACAAATGCCCTCAAGAGTTGCACATCCCAAATTTTTATAGACGGACTAATCATTACATCCAAGCGTTGCCAACCAGGATTCGCTACAAAAGAACTAGACCGTTAGAGGCGAGAACATGCACCACAAAAGCGCTGAAAATCATCAGTAAATTTTTTTAGCATTTAAATTCTAATTTTGTATTTTTTTCTTCATTGTTTCTTAAAAAAATAAAATTATATCGATTAAGTAGGGGTTTGAAGACACTCTCTGCTTTATTTCTATGTCATATATAAATTATAAAATGTACAATGATGCATTAAATAACAAGGAGATTTGAATCGAAAAGTAATTTTGATAATTTTTCGTAATAATATTGAATGTTTTTAATATTGACATTGCAAGTTATTTATTTTAGAAAATTAAATTGCAATCTAAAATTAATTATTATATTTTTTTGTTGAAAAAATAGGTTTTACTAGCAAATAGTGATTGGTGTCTTTAGTCGCTACTAAAAATCATTCATAATCTTCTGTGACAATATTTAAGATTCTAAATGTATGTCAAGTTTTTCTGTAGTGAATCTTAGTTGACAACGCTTAGATGGATGAATTTTTTTTATTATAGTTAATTGATTTTTCTATAACAAAAAAGAATCTATGTTTGAATTAATGGTTATATAAACTATAAAAAGTCCTATTTGGAGTAAAACGCTTTCTCAACAAACTAACCTCCGCTTTTTCACTAGTTTACGCAACTAACAAAATCAAAACTCCCGTCCTTCGTCAATATCATTCACGTTCTCTACACTCTTCTCTCTCTCTTCAAGTGATTAGTAAGTAACATGCTTTTGTCAATGGCAGCCTTTAACTTCTTTTTACTCTTTCTTCGCACTTTCGTCAATTTCACACTAACTGATCTATTTATCTTTCAGATCTGCATTTTGTTTAATGCATAAGTTTTGTTTACTTTTTGCAGATTTTTGAAGAAAAAAAAAATAGAGGGAAAAAAGAGTACGTACGGTTTTATTGGCAATGTCGACGGCGAGGCTTCACGTGGTTTGCTTCGTGATTTTCTTTGTGATTTTGTCTGTACAGCAATGTATTTGTGCAGATTCGCCGGAAAATTCTCCAAGTCCGGCGCCGGTAGCAGGTGGAGATTTAGGTTCTCTACCGCCGATCGCTCCAGCTCCTAAAACTCCGTCGCTGTCACCGTCACCTTTGGCTAGTGTGAGTTCTCCTCCGGCGTCTCCGCCGACGTATCTGTCTTCTAATTCTGTTCCAGCGCCGTCACCTGTAAACGGAGATGATGATGCTCCGTCTCCTGTAACAGAGCCTTCATCTCCTTCTCCGGCTCCGACTGATGTAGTTGCGAGTGATATAAGCCACGAGAGTACTACGACGGAGGTGGCATCCACGGACGGTGGAATGAACGGAGGAAAGAAGGCAGGATTAGCATTTGGAGTAATCGCAGCAGTGTGTGTTGTAGGTCTCGGAGCATTGGTTTACAAGAAGCGCCGGCAGAATATCCGACGAGCACAATTCGGGTACGCTGCCCGGAGAGATTTTCTATAATTTGCATGCTTCATATATATATATATATGGATATGGCCGAACTCATAATCACATCTCTAAACTTGTTTCCGTTCATTCATTGAATCACTCATAATTTGTTCATTTTAAAAACCGTTGGCTGATTTTAATCAGCTTTTCTATTGTAAATTCGTATTGTAATAATGTGACCCATAATTTGTTCTTTTTAAAAATTGTTGACTGATTTTGATAAGCTTTTCTATTGTAAATTCATATTGTAATGATTTTGATCGAAAGAATGAAACAAATTGTATATCAGTCTCATTTGTTTTCTAATGTATTCAAATGAGTTGAAGTAAAATACAATTATTCTCAAACAGTTTCATCATCAATTGGACTAATGAGTTTCTCTATCAATATCCCTCACAAAATGTTTTAAAAGGAACAAACAAATTATGGGTGATTCAATGATTCAGCCAGAAAAGTTCTGGAACTAACTTCTATCAATACCCTTCACATACCTGAAGGGAAAAATTCAATAAATTTAGAGATCTGTTTATATATTTGGTCTATATATATATATACATGCTATCTTTTCACATATTATATACAAATCTATATGGTTCATGAATATATTTGTAGCATTCGAGAGTTCCTAAGAATGAACGGAGGAAAGGATGCAGAAGTAGCATTTGATGTAGCATTTGGATTACTCGTAGCAGCGTGTGTTGTATGTTTCGGAGCAGCGGTTTGCAACAAGTCCCGGCAGAATATCCGGCCAGCAAAGTTCGGGTACGCTGCACGGAGAAATTTTCTATAATTTGCATGCTTCATATATATATATAAATCTATATGGTTCATGAAGTATATTTGTAGCATTCTAGAGTTTCATTATATTTGTTTGATTCTTTCTTTAATCATTGAATAAAAATGGAGTTCGTACTCCTATTATTTTGATTAGGATCATATTCTATGGTTATAATTCGATGCTTCCTCTAACATTGTGATCTTCACCATAACTGTGTGCCTTGTGGTAAAGATTCCTAAAATGCTGGATCTTATCAACGTCCGTGAATGATAAATCATTGATTGATCTGCCATACCCTATTTCATTAGATTACCCAAAAAGGGGACTAGGAGCTTGTATTCATTGATACATGTAATAAACCATGTTCTTCATTTTGCATGATACATAAAATTCTACAACATATAAAAAGATATAATCTCTGCTGCTTGGAAATGGCAGCTCTCTGGAGTAGCTATGCTAGTTGTATTATTATCCAGTTGATATAATCTGCATCATTTCCATCTCTTGAACTCGGCGATCTAGTCTTACTCCTCGGTAGGAGGATCAACCCAGCGGTCATGATCTTTGATTAGCTGGATCAGTGCATCCGTTGCATGCTCCATTTCAATAGCGCGTTTCACCACTGTCTGGTAGAAGTTTATTTCACAAGTAATCGAAACATGTTAGTGACATGAATTGAGCTTAAATGGGGAAACATAGTCCGTGAAAATTCTTATAAACGACCCCAGCTTGTAATGGATTGAGGCGTAGTAGACAAGTAGTACGGAATTTGAAAACTAGAGACGATTACTACTCCCTCAATCACAAGCAATCTGAGTACAGCTAGTCAGTATTCCTTCAAAAAAGCACCAAATTATTTCATTTTCTTTAGCTATGTTTGGTTGAATTGTGTATGCTTGATGGATTACTAGCTGTGATATCTTTTTAGTGAAATGAGAGACGATAACAACCATCGCTGCAGGGAGATATACCATACGTGCATCTAGAAAGGGGATGATTGACTCCAATGTTTATACTTCAAACGATATTTTTCGCTAAAACACTATGTAGTGAATTGTGCAAGCCAAATTCATCTTGTTCAGTACTGAGATGAGGGAAATAAAACTTGGTACCTTGCCGACGTAAAGGTCAATCTTTCCAGGAGCACCACCAACATATCCAAAGTCAGCATCAGCCATCTCCCCAGGTCCATTCACAATGCAACCCATGATGGCAATCTGCGAAGGAAAAAAAAACATAACACGAGTCATTTTACCATCAGAATATATACTCAAAAAAATCAAGCTATTTAATAACAGTAAGCATTAGGGTCGCGTAATTACTGAAACACCAGGCAAGTGTGACGTCTTCTCTCTAATTTGAGCGCTTATCTCTTGAAGATCGAATAAAGTTCTGCCACAGGATGGGCATGATACATATTCCTGGAAGGGATACACAGAAACGGAAATGAGTACTGTTACTATATATTGATTCAGATTCTTGCCGTGTCCTTTTGCTTAGCATTACCGTTTTTGTGTTCCGCATTCTGCAACCTTGAAGCAAATTGAAAGATGTATTTCTGAGAAAATCAAAATCCTTGTCTGGAGCTTCCAAGAGAAGTCCATCACCAAGCCCATCTACCAAGAGGGCTCCCGCATTTGTCCCGGCACCAATCACTAAGTCATCTCTGTCATGTTGAAATTGTCGTAAGCTAAATTACAAAAAAAAACCTACACACGTCTGATTATAGGTCATTCATGTCTTTCTTGCCGTACCTGTGGGTGTTGCTGGGAAATTGTATGTGATGAATCACTGGAAAGTTCAAGGAATTCTCGGAAAGATACTCAAAAAGCCTGCAAAAGCAGATATGCTCAAGTTAACAGTGTCTTAAAAAGTAGAGAATTGGAAAAAGCAGCAGCTAAGTAGTTTTCTGTCGAATGTCTGCCTTCGAGAAAGTTTATACAAATAGAAAGTATAATATTGGTCATGCCAACTGATTTACTGTAAGCGAACGTGAATATTTTGCAACATACCTCCTGGCTGCTTGAACCCTGCCAATTTTTTCCTCTGTATATGGCAGATTATGAAGAATCATTGTAACATCAGAGCTCTTCAGGATTTCCAACTCATCATGTGATTCATCGCCACGCAGAGACACAACCAATCTCGTACCTACAAGGAGGTTTCCACAGCTAGCCTGATCAGCAAAACCTTTCGAAGTAATTAATTCAAAGAACTTACAGAACAAAATATAATTGTCACACCTTCGGGAAGAAGCTTGTGAGCACCACCAGACAACTCCTTCAGAGTAACCAAGACCATGGCATTGGGTAATGGCTTTGTCAATTGCTCTGAGAGAGGAGCAATGACTCCCATGCTTATGTCGACCAATCTCTTGAGAGCTAGACGCTATTCATGCGCAACAAAAGAAATTGACAAGTCACTCTCACAACAAATGGATGTATCCAAATAATGTGCACTAGAAATGCTAAAACTTTAACACAAATTAGTCGGATCATCAACAATAATAAAGTGAATACATAAATTACTACATAGAAACGAAAAGGGTCCTTACAGAATCTATATCATCTAGTGGTGGAAGTTCCCTCAACAGGATTGAGTCCACAGTTGCCAAATCCTGAATCGACACTGATTATAAGTTAGCACAAAGACAGTTCACAACAAGAGGAGAAGAATCGAGGTTAGTACACAGTGCAATGAAAGCCGTAGATTGACCTTAAATGGCATGCCAACAATAAGCTTTGCCGCTAATGATCTGTACAAAAGTTCAGGGGTCTGCAAAACCAAAAAATAATGTCAACTGGAGCTAGAAATAAATTAGTAGAATCATATATTACAAACTATTATTAGAAAAGTGTCAGATAAGACCTTTAATTGATTCAAAGAGACAGACATAAGAACAGAACCATCTCGATGCAACACGCCTCTGTAGTCTACTTCATCACCCTGTTAGAGAAATCAAACATTTGTTTGTTTCAAAAAATGAAGTCCGCTTTACCATATCGGCTCAGGTTTTAAAACTCACCTCCTTTTGAGCTGGCAATTCCCCTGACCTACGTTGAAAGTCAAAATAACGTCTGTGCTTTTCTTCAAAGGGGGCCTGATAAAGGAAGTAGAAACCTTACTACTTCGTCAAATCCTAAAGAACATTCACAAGCAATCACGTGTGATGAAATATTACCACTCCTTGCTGAAGCGCAGCTGCTCTTTTACCAAGGTCTGCCAATCGTCGACAGGGATCTATCTCCTCTTCTGGAGCTTCAGTTAGGGAAACCCGTATCGTATCACCCAAACCATCCTGCATAAATAGAAAGTTTTCTACTTCAGAAAGTCGAGCAGTACATTTGCTTTATGAGAGTAAGTTACCATATTGTACTAATTTTATGAGCATTTTAAAAATCTAAATTTGATAAATCAATGATTATGTATTTTCTGCCACTTGATGAAACCATTAGAATTGAACAGATTACAGCATTTAGATTAATCACATCTTCTGTTTAGCACAAATTAACAAATAATATGACAATAAAATCGAAAGATACAAAGCAAATGAGACAACATACCTACTAAATATCACCCTAACTCTCGCACATAAAAAGCGACAACATTCGGCTATTTAGTAGCCCTCAACCCTAATCTTTGACCTCCAAACCTACCTATCTAGGGTCATGTCCTCAGTAAGCCGGAGAAATACCCCATTGCTTAAACCAATGAATACGCATCACTGAGTACAAAATATCTGGTATATCTAGAAAACTTGTCTAAATGAAGCTGGAATCATCAAAATCAATAAAGACGATATTTTTAAAGATGCTCGGCCTTTAACTGTTATTCATCCAAGACAAAAATAGTATACCTGAAGAAGTGTGCCAATTCCGATTGCAGACTTCATCCTTCCATCCTCACCTTCACCAGCTTCAGTAACTCCCAAGTGTAAAGGATAATCCCATCCTTGAACATACATCTCAGCTACAAGAAGGCGATACGCCTGAACCATAACTACTGGATTGCTAGCTTTCATTGAGAAGACAAAATTGTGGAAGTCCAACTTTCTACAAATTCTGGCAAACTCAAATGCTGATTCTACCTGTAACACATTAGATGATACAAATTATCGAATTCAACAACAATGACTAGAACAGAATATTCTAGGTAAGTAATTCAGTTACTGCTCACCATTCCCCTAGGTGAGTCCCCATAATAGCTCATAATGCGATCTGAAAGGCTCCCATGGTTTGTCCCAATGCGCATTGCACGTCCATACTTCTTACATTTTTCCACCAATGGTGTAAAGACCTGAAGCATTTCAAGGAGAAAACGGATTAGACTCTTGCAAAAAGGTAGATAGCTAGACGTCATAATGGTGTACCAAATTGTGTCCAGGAATATGCTTCATGATAAAAGGGGAAATTTCTTCCTAAACGAGAATAGAAGTCAGAGTATCTGATAAACGATGATTAAAGACCTAACATCAGCTTGATAACCTATTCTTGTTTGGTATTGTCGCGCTGACGTTTGCCGCATCTTATCTTTTGCACAGCAGTAAACAACAAGGATCTTATGATGAAATCGATATGATTCATATCTTTTCATGTTCATTATCGTTATCAAAAAATTATCATTAGATGTTTTTGAAGTAGAAAATATCCAGTATTCATACAAGTACGGAATAGTCTGACCTCCTCAATATGCTCGAGTTCTTTCTGATAGTCATCTTCTGTGTACTCTAATTGCTCAAACTGGGCTCGCCTGTCAGCTGAAAGAAATTAACTGATTAGATCATAGTTATTCTCTTGGCTCTTCCAAAAGACCATCACGTAGACAGAGGATGAAATACCAAAGTTTCCAGGATTGACACGTATTTTGTCAAAGCACTCAGCCACTCGAAGTGCAACAGAAGGAGCAAAATGAATGTCAGCCACCAGAGGGATGTTGTAACTGCATGTACAGAACGTTGATGAAATAAAATATGCTCATATCTTCAAGTCCATCAAATATTGAGATATACCGATGAAAAATGAGACATACTTCTTTTGCACCAGAGTATTTTTAATTTCAAAACATGCATCAGCTTCTTTCCTCCCTTGGACTGTAATCCGAACTATGTCAGCTCCCGCATCAGCAATTTTCATCACCTGCATAAACAGGAATTAGCATTATGGCTAAACTCCTTTCGTCTTTTAGGTTTTCAACTTCATCAAAGAAGCATGTTCAGATACAACATGTAAATCATTAGAAATCCGAAAGGAAATTTTTTTGCCTTGTGGGCTAGGAATTGATTCATTTGATTAAGTAGAAAGCTTGCTTAAAAAAATTCCGAACACTGATGGGAATATACTTATACAACATCAAAGAAAGTAGCATTTGTGGTGATAT